TTTAACTTCATCTGGTATTGTTTCAGAGTATCCAACTACTGGTACAGATGGTGTTGTTGGTACAGGTACAACTACTATTCCATTCCCAGGAGCTTCAACCTCTCATTCATGGTTAGTCACTACTTCAACATGGACAAACTCAGCTGGTCTAACTTCATCTGGTATTGTTTCAGAATATCCAACTACTGGTACAGATGGTGTTGTTGGTACAGGTACTACTACTATTCCATTCCCTAGCAGTAGTTTTCCAATAACTAACTCTGGAAGTCTTTCAGCTATGAGCTCATCAGAAGCTCCTTCTTCTTCTGCCGCACCTTCGCCTTATATGACAGGGTTTATCAAAGATGGTGAACCTCATTGGAATGTTGTCGTTCCAGGTAACCTTGGAACTTGGTCGTCTGTTAATTTGAAAGGGTCAACTGATGGTTCACATTATTTATTAAGAGGTGTTGAGATTTTGCTGGAAGGAGATTCTGCCTCTGGAATTTCTGAAGTTTCTGATTATGAAGAGAGTGCTGCTTACAGTGATTCTATTGAGTATGACTCTGAGTTGATCTTTTCAATATTTGCTCATGCAGTTGCTGGGAAAGATTATGTTCATTCTGTTGAAGTTTGGGTTGATTTGGTCGATGAGTTCGGACTTCAAAAAAGAGATGCTCACAAGTATGAGTTATCTGCCACTATTGTTATTGATGCTTCTATTTCATCCTCTACATCAGCATCATTATCCGGAACTAGTACTTCTAGTGATACAGCTGAGTCCAAATCTACTGGTGGTATCTCCTCAACTTCAAAAGTTCAAACTACTGATACTTCAAGCTCCATTCCTACAAGTGAAGGTGATGGTGCATCAAGAACTCAAGTGTCTAATGTTGGCTCTGTTGTATCCTCAGTTGCTTCTGATTTTCCATCAACTACTATTATCACCATCACTAGTTGCTCCAATGGTGTCTGCTCCAAAGTTCCCGTTACTACTGGTGTTGCTGTCGGAACATTAACAACTGATCAAATTGTTAAAACATTTACAACTTTATGCCCATTGTCCCCAACGACAACTGAAAAGATTAGTGGAGGAGTTGAAAATTTGCGCCCTGGTTCAAGTGTCACGTTAAAATCCACAATAACTGCGTTATCTACAACTGTTGTTACTTTAACTGCTTGTGACAGTGGGGTTTGTTCCAAGATGCCAACCACTACAGGCGTCAGTGTTGCTACTAAAACTATCAATGGGGTTGAATCATTATTGACAACATTTTGTCCTTTAACCACAACAGTAACCATCACAGAAAACCATGATTCTTCCCCTTCAGCCTCTACAGTTGATAATAGTTTCCATATTGATGCTGATGATTTTGATAATGTTTTCGTTTCTGGTACTGGATTGGCTTCTGATGAATTTCCACAAGAGACAACGATCAATGAAAATCCAAATTCCACGGGTTCTAATGGGGCTCCAAACTCTGCGACAGTAACATCAGAGATTGGTGGAGTATCAAATGCTTTCAATGAGGGTTTCACAACAACTGCGTTACAAAAAGCTTCATCAACTGTGTCTCAAGAGACAAGTGCGACTTTTGGTTCTGATGGTACACAGTCAGCAGCATCTATTAGCACATACGAGGGTGATGCCTCAAAGAGTATAATTTCATTAGGATCTTTATTGGCTGCTTGTATTATTTTGATTTGATTGGCCAAGTTGATTTTTCTTTTTTATTCATTTATTTTATTTTCGATGTTGTTCGTGTCTTTTTTTTTTGAATAGCTACTGACTTTGTTCAGTTTGCCACTAGTCAATTTTTTTTTGATTAACTTTTTCTAAATAGTCCCATTTTTATTACAGATATTATTTTTGAATATTAAATGATAATTGAGTTTGATTCCAGATCATGTTCTGGCCACTGATTAATTGGTAGCTCAGTAATTAATTACTTTTATTGAACTAGTTTCATTACACTCATAATGATAAGCTTCTGCGAATCCGTTCTATAACTTATAATAGTAAGACTTCTAGTACTAGTACTTATTAATTATGCCAAAAGTACCTCAAAACTGCAGACGATGAAGTAGACGTTAATTATATGCCTACCTCACGCGATCAAAATGATTAGTAATTTAAGGTTAATTGAGTACTTATAAGTTGTGATTGTAGAGAAAAAAAGAGAGCTCAGTCGTGCACTACTACTTATTACTAGCCTCTAGCAATTTGAAAGGTAGAGTTAGTCTCTGCTATCATTGGCCTACGACATGTAACCGCACCTGAATCTAGACGGTCTTTGAACATGTAAAATTTACAATATTAGCATTTGTCGAACGGTCATTGCTTAAAAAGTTAGGGGTTACAAACCCAGAAAGATAGTGGAGCTAAAAGATGTGAATTATGAGGTCTGGGCTAATCTAGCCCTGATGTACTTGTCTAGGGTACTTTACGATCAAGTTAGTTAATCTACAAAGCTCATGCTTGGAATTCGGAAAATCAACTAACGGTCCTTATCACAAACATTGCCATTTCCAGCCAGGGATCCTCCAACTTTAAATTGCAAATATGAACCAGTTATCTGTGAAATTGCTTGTTTCATTTGTTTGTTTTGTTTTGTTTGTTTGGAAAACTTTTTTCTCAAGCGCAAGAGAACTTAACTTGGGAACGTTGAGGGATCATCAACAACGTTAAACTACACAGAATGATAAAATATATAAAAAGAGCTACTAAATCATGTTTTCGATGATAATTTCTTGTTAAAATGGTTGGTGTGCTTAATAGTGGTAAGAAGAAGATCAGATATACCAAGATGAGTTCAGACGGTGATAGAGCGGCTGATGATATGGATGTTATGAAGAACCAAACAAAAACTGTGACAGTTCAAGAGGATGCTGGTTCTTTCCATAATCCAGGAATCGAAGATGAACTAACCACTGCTCGTGTTTATGAATCACAAGAATCTCAACTATCCAAGTGGGAAACATTTAAGAAATTCCCATTCAGTTGCTATTGTGTTGGTGTCATGATATGGACATTAAATTTAACTTCCTTTGATATTGTTGCTGGTGGTATTGTGTTGTCAATTTCTCAATTTAGAAAACATTTTGGGCATCAAATGCCAGATGGATCTTGTGTTGTTCCTGCTAAATGGATTGCTGCCTTTTCAGGTGGTCCATTGGGTGCTCAAATCGTCGGACAATATTTCAGCTCTTTTCTTAGTGATCAATTTGGTAAGAAATGGATAATTATCATTAGTTTAATATTTAGTGCTGGATTTATTGGTGTTGAAGTTGCTGCATCAAACTTACATACTTTTTTAATTGGGAAAACTTTGAATGGTGTTTGTTTGGGTGTTATTCAATCAATCTGTGTTTCATATGTATCTGACACAGTTCCTTTAGTGTTGAGAGGTATTGGTATTGCTTTGTGTAATATTTCATTTTCAACAGGACCGATGGTTGTTTACATCATCAACTATTGCCTAAGTGATAAAGATGAAGATGATCAATGGGCTTACAAGGCTATTTTTTCTGCACAATGGGGGTTTACAGTGGTGAGTTTGATTGGGTTGATATTTGTGCCTGAAAGTCCATACTATTATATCTTCAAAAACAAGTCTGAAATGGCATATAGGGCCTTACAAAAATTATACAAGGACCCTGAAGCTTCACAAGAACAGCACAAGATTATTAAAGCTACTGTTGACCAATCAAGAGAGATTGCAGAAAGTACAAGCTATATTGATTTGTTAAAAGGGTTGGATAGAATCAGAACATGGATATCTGTAACGCCATTTTTGATATTACCAAATTGTGGTATATATTTTACAGCTGCTTATACAACTTATTATTTCCAACTTTCAGGATATGATGATAGAAAATCATTTCGTTTTACTTTGGGACAACAAACTATTTCATTAGTCGGATGTGTTGTTGCACTATTCTTTGTTGATTCCGTTGGTAGAAGATCAGGATTCCTTTATGGGTTAGGTATTTTGATTGTTTTTGATTTCATTATAGGTATTGCAGGTATCTATACACATAGTCAACATGCTGTGAATACAACCATTGCTTTTATGATGTTTTATGGTGGTACCTATAATACATTTATTGGCTCTTTAGTTTATCCTGTCTGTGCTGAGAACCCAACATCATACCTTAGATCGAAAACTATTGCACTGGGGCTAGCATTAACAAACGTTATGAATATGTTGTGGTCATTTGTGTTTCCATATTTATTCAATCCAGACAAGGCAAATTTAGGTGCAAAATCAATGTTAATATTTGGTGGGATTTCTATTGTTTCTTGGATTTACTTGTTCTTTTTCCAAACAGAAACTGCTAATAGATCATACGAAGAGATTGATGAGATGTATGCTAATAAGGTTCCATTTAGAAAGTTTGATAGTTACGTCTCTAAGAAAAATGCTATTAACCAAGAAGTTGTTCAAGAAAGAATAAGAAGTGATCATTCAACAACCACAGCTTAGTGTTTTCACTTACAGCCTTTACCTTTTGAATTTAAACCACACTAGAATGATAGCTATGAATAAAACTTCATGACATGATGCTACTAATTTTGACTGCTTTTGTAGTATTGTATTGGATGATGCAGCAGCCATCCACGTTCTTGAAATGCTATCACTAGCACCGGTAAACTACAGCTCATATTGACTCCCCAGTGCTCACCTCCCCAGACAAAACGAACAAACGTTTGTGATCTTTTTCACCATGTGTCAGCCGATACAATATTTTATTTTCAAGATTACATAAGAACTTACGTACGCTCGACCTCCTAACCGTTGCCTAGAAACGCAGTTAATTAAACTAGGTAGTAGGTACGAGAAATCAGCTTTACAGCAAATTGCAATGATCTAAATTTATCCGTCTCTTCACAAAATAGTACACCTCAAAAGCTAAATGCCAAATTCTGTTCATGTTAACAACTCCGAAATCATCTCTCAATCATTCGACGGCTGATCATTTCAATCTTGATCGGTAAGAAGTGAAAAATTCCTCGAGGAATATTCAAGGATCCAATTTGCTCAACGAATTAATTATAAATTGAACCCACGTTTCCAATGGCTTTATCCTCTATAGGAAATATTTCACCAATTAATTAACCAGTAAGAGAAGAACACCATCGGCTCGTATACATATCCAGATGATCTACAGTGTACACATGATCGTGGTTTAGTTCCACCAAGTTGAACTAATTTAACAAGGAGGATGTATAAATAGCCAAGGAAAATCACCAAGAAATGTTGTTGGAAAATATAATGGCATAAGAGATAGCCAAGAAAATTTGTCATTATGAAGTTTTCAAGTTTATTTATTGGTGCAATTGCCAGTTCAATTGCTTCAGCTGTTCCATTGTTTGATTTAGAAAAAGCCTTGGAAACAACAACTTATTCACCAACTGAACAACAATTGATCAACCAATTCTCCCATGAACTATACTTGATTGATAGTTTCAATGGCACAAATACTACCAAGTGTGATAAATGTATCAAAAGATTACAATTGGGTAAATCTATTGTCTCAACTAAACCAAATTTAATTTATCCTATTTTCACCAAATGGTGTACTGATAACAAGATTCATGATCCAACAACTTGTAAATTAGATTATGGAAGAAATACTGTTGACAATGCAACTTTTGGTACCAATTTTGCCAACATGTTATACTTGATGGAACCTTCAAGTTATGATGGTCAATTATATTGTCATTATCAAGATTCAAAATCTTGTCCATTACCTAAGACTCCAAAAATTGACATGTCTTCATACTGGCCTGCAAAGAAACCTGAACATGAAGTTGCTCCAGAAGTTGGTAATGAAACTTATAACGTTTTACATGTTAGTGATTTCCATATTCAATTAGATTATCAGATTGGTTCAGAAGCAAATTGTTCCCAATATATGTGTTGTACTGGTCATAATTTCAACAAACATTCACCTCCACAAGGCTACAACTATACTGCTAATTTGACCCATGACCAAATTGCTAATCTATCATTTACTCCAGCTTGGTATGATGCTGATTATGAATTACAACATGGTGATCCAATTGAACATGTCTTGAGTAATGGATCTGTTTGGGTTCCTGCAAACACTTTTGGTCATTATGCTTGTGATGCTCCAGAAGTTTTAATCAATAGTTCACTTAAATCAGTTGCTCAATACCAAGAAGAATTAGGCTTAGATTTCCAGTTTTCAATCTTTACAGGTGATTTAGTTGATCATGATGAAGATCAATTCTTGGACTATGAGAAAAACATCAAATCTGAAGAATATATCTTTAGAGATATCAAGGCAACATTGAAAGATATCCCACTTTATGCTGTTCTTGGTAATCATGACACTTATCCTTATGCTCAATTAGCTCAACAAAAATCAGGGTTTGCCAATTTATTTGACTGGAATGCTGAATTGATGGCTGATATGTGGGAAGATTATGGTTGGTTAAACAGTACCACTGCCAAATATGCAAGAGAACATTATACTGGGTTTGCAGTTACCACCAAGACAGATTTGAAAGTTATTGCATTGAACTCAAATGCTTACTATGCATCTAACTTATACAATTATTGGAATGCTACAGATGTTGATTCTTTTGGACAATTCCAATTCTTAATTGACGAATTGATTGATTCTGAAAGTAAAGGTCAAAGAGTTTGGATCATTGCTCATATTCCATTCGTTGAAGAAGCATTACCTGTTCCTGCTGAAGTGTTTACACAAATTGTTAAAAGATTTTCACCATACACTATCGCAGGTATTTTCTTTGGTCATACCCATTTGGATCAATTCAATATCTTGTATGACGGTCCAGTTACTAACAAGAGTGAAGAATCCGTTTCAAACTTTGCATGGATTGCTCAAGCTGTTACTCCATTAACTGATAACAATCCATCATGGAGATATTATACTGTTGATAAGAAAACTCATAGTATTATGAATTCATACAATTATTACACCAAATTGAATGATACATTTTATAATGAATCAGATGAACCAGTTTGGGAGTTTGAATATTCAGCAAGAGAATCATATGCTAATGTTACTGAATGGCCAGAAACTGCTCCATTGAATGCTACATTTTGGCATAGAGTTGCTAATGGGGTCAATGCAAGTGATGAAGTGTCTCAAACTTATAACAATTACAAGAGAAGATTCAGTCCATATGTTCCAGAATGTATTGGTACTGGTAATTGTGATGGTAGTTATTGTTTCTTAGCCTCATTCACTTTGAAAGATTATGAAGAATGTATGGAAACTTTCCATGAACCAGAGTTTTACTGATCAATTCAGATCTTTTATTTTCAATTCGTTATACCTTCATCTCCATCCTTTTCTTATTCTAGATTGAGATTATTTTGATATTATCTAGACTTGTTTAACAATTTAATTACAGTCCAAAGCAGAATTGTAGTTGATGTTTTAAACGAGCAACGGCCCACGAGCCTAAGTCCTAGGCGGATGCTGGGTAGAGTCCAGACGGAACTAATCCGTGCGTATATTTCAGAACGGCAAAGCATAACTCTTGTGTAAATTATGGACCGGCTGTAATCTCACAACGTTTTTGTGGCAGTTTTCACAATCAGATTTCTGCTCCGGTGCCTGAAATTGCAGAGATTCCAATTCCCAATCGTTAATCCTTCACCCACGTTGGTAGCTGCCAAAGGCCCATGCCACTAGTTGTTCTTGACTCGTATCTGGGTGATGTTGAACGGAGCTGCTCAGGATGCTATTGGTCCAAATGTCAACGTCTTTTGAAGAGTTTGGAGTTTTGAGGGACCCTATAAATTGAACAAAGTCTCCGAGATCATCAGCTTGAGGATCCCATTGTTGAACCAACACAATTGCTCAAGATGAAGGTATCTTCTATGCTGCTAGGAACACTAGCTGCTTTGTCAACTGTGGTTAATGCTGTTCCCTTATTTAATCTTGAATTGACTTTGGATACCACCGTTTTCACTCCATCTGATGCTAAATTGATTGTTGATTTTGCAAGACAATTGACTTTGATTGACCAATTCAATGGAACAAACACCACCAAATGTGACAAATGTATCAAAAGATTGCAATTGGGTAAAACAATCACCATGACCAAACCAAATTTGGTGTATCCCGTTTTTACCAAATGGTGTATTGATAACAAAGTTGCTAATAAAGTCACCTGTGAAACCAACTATGGTAGAAATACCGTTGACAACTCCACGTTTGGTACAAATTTTGCCAACATGCTCTACTTGATGGACCCTTCAAGTTATGATGGTCAATTATATTGTCATTTCCAAGATACAAAATCATGTCCTTTACCAAAAACTCCAAAGGTTGATCTTTCAGGTTACTGGCCTCCAAAACAACCAAAACATCACGTTGCTCCAACTCCTGGTAATGAAACTTATAACGTCTTACATGTTAGTGATTTCCATATTGAATTAAACTATCAAATTGGTGCTGAAGCTAACTGTTCAAGAGGGATGTGTTGTACCCCATATAGTAAGAATGCAGCTAAATTACCGCAAGGTTATTCATTTACTGCTAATTTGACTGAAGATCAAATTGGTAACTTGTCATATACTCCAGCTTGGTATGATGAAGATAATGAATTACAATATGGTGAGCCGGTTGATGTTTTCAAGAATGGTTCTGATGTTTGGTATCCAGCTAACACGTTTGGTCATTATGAATGTGATGCTCCACCAGTGTTGGTTAACAGTTCTTTGAACTCCGTTGCAAAATTTCAAGAAGAATTGGATCTTGATTTCAAATTTTCAATCTTTACAGGTGATTTAGTGGAACATGATGAAGCTCAATATAAATCACATGAATTTGTCATTGAATCTGAAGAAATTGTCTTCCGTGATATGAAGAAAACTTTGAAAGGTATCCCTGTGTTTTCAGTTTTGGGTAATCATGATACATTCCCATATGCCCAATTAGCTCAAGAGAAATCTGGCTTTGGTAATTTGTTTGATTGGAACGCTGACTTGATGGCTGACATGTGGGAAGATTATGGTTGGATAAATAGCACTACTGCCCAACATGTTAGAAAACATTACTCTGGTTTTGCTGTCACAACTTCAACTGATTTGAAAATCATTGTCTTGAACTCTAATGCTTACTATGTTAAGAATCTATATATGTATTGGAATGCTACTGATATTGATTCGTTTGGTCAATTCCAATTTTTAATTGATGAATTAGTTGATGCTGAAGCTAAAGATCAAAGAGTTTGGATCATGGCCCATATTCCTTTCATCAAAGAAGCTTTACCATTACCAGCTGAAGTTTTCACACAAATCATTAAAAGATTTTCTCCTTACACAATTGCCGGTATCTTTTTTGGTCATACTCATTTGGATCAATTTAATTTATTATATGATGGTGGTGTCGGAAATAAGACTGAACAAAATTTGGTTGCAAACGCATGGATTTCGCAAGCTCTTACACCATTGACCGAAAATAATCCAGGTTGGAGATACTACAGTATTGATACCAAAACTCATAGTGTTATGAATTCATTTAATTATTATACCAAATTAAATGACACATTCACTAATGGTAATGAAGAACCTATTTGGGAATTTGAGTATTCAGCCCGTGAAGCTTATGAAAGTGTTGCTGAATGGCCTGACAATGCACCATTAAATGCAACTTTCTGGCATAGAGTTGCTACTGGAGTTAACAATACTGAAGAAATCGCCCAAACTTACAGCAACTACAAGAAAAGATTTAGTCCTTTCACTCCAAACTGTATTGGTACAGATGAATGTGATGGGAGTTGGTGTTTCTTATCTTCATTTACAGCAAAAGACCACCAAGAGTGTATGAAGATGTATGGTCAACCTGATATCTATTGATTTACCAATGCTGTTTTTCTTCTTTTCAAATTTCGTTTCCACCGTTATATTTTTTGATTCTACCTCGAGAAGAGACCTAAATACTGGTTGACCCCAAAAGTGTTTATATATTTAGATGTTTATCGTTTAGATCTGTACCATCACCTTTGACGTCTTCGATTGTAACTGGCCAAGGCCCCTCTCAGGCCATGCAAGGGTTATCGCTTTTTTTCTAGGCTACAGATAGCTGCGTAATCTTCAACACTGCTCTGGCTTTGGGGCTGCGTAAATTTCAGCACACTGAAACCCATCACCTGTAACGGTTTTCGCGACTTTTTTTTTATTTATTTTTTTCGTTCGCGATTTTTCACGTTGCAGCATCTCGAGGATGATTCATACATTGGAAAAAATACACCTTGAAGAGTTACATCAATACTCAAGAACAGACAACAACGTACATTAATATCCAAAATGCTAAGTACTAAAGCAACCTTTTCCAGACGTCTATACTCAACTGCCTCAAAAACCTTAAAAATTGGTTAGTATCAACTCAGATCAATTGTGATCTCTGTTCATCATGAAAAAGTGTGGAGTATTAACTTATCAAATTGATAGGGTTGATTCCAGGTGATGGTATTGGTAGAGAAGTCATTCCAGCCGGTAAACAAGTTTTGGAGGGTTTATCATCTAAACATGGTTTGAATGTTCTTTTCGAACGTGATTTCCCTGAGATTGAAAGTAATGCCCAAGAAGAAGTTCAAGAAGAAGTTCAAGAAGAAGTTCAAGAAGAAGTTCAAGAAGAAGTTCAAGAAGAAGTTCAAGAAGAAGTTCAAGAAGAAGTTCAAGAAGAGTACGAAGATTGGAACGGGTTCGATGATTGAAAACAATTCTATTTTATCTAACTAAAACCTGTTTAGAAGAGCTATATCGCTTATAAACGTTTAACAACGTCATCAATAACTTGTTGAGTAGTTGATTTACCACCTAAATCTGGAGTTTTAACTTGACCTTCAGCCAAGTTAGCATCAACTGCTGCATAAATATCAGCAGCTGGTTTATTGTAACCCAAGAACTCTAATAATAAGGCTGTGGATCTGATTGTAGCAATTGGGTTAGAAATACCTTTACCAGCAATATCTGGAGCAGAACCGTGACATGGTTCACCAATAACATAGTTATCACCAACGTTAGCACTTGGAACAACACCTAAAGAACCAACAAGGGCTGCAGCACCGTCTGATAAGATATCACCATACAAGTTTGGAGCAACAACAACATCGAAGATTTCAGGTTCACGGAACATACGATAAACCATTGAATCAACAATTTGTTCTTGTAAGTTAACTTGAGAGTATTTTGATTGATTTTGGTCATAGACTTTACGAACAGTTTCACGGAATAACCCATCAGAGACACTCAAGACATTTGATTTATGAGTAATGGTTAAGATTGGTGATTTATGTAATGAAGCAGCACCTAAGTCACGTTGAGCTTGACGTTGTAAGGCGATTTCCAAGGCAATTTTACCAATTCTTGTGGTGGCAGTCTCTGTGATTCTCTTGATAGCTTCAGCAGTTTTGGTACCGTCAGCATTTTCAAAGATTTTTTCCTCTTTAACATATAAATCTTCGGTATTTTCACGAACAATAACCATATCAACAGGTCTATCATTTGTACCATCAACTGATTTAACTGGACGAACATTAGCATATAATCCTAATTTTTTACGTAATGCAACAATTGGTGAAGAATAACCAGCAACTTTAGTAGTTGGGGAGGAGACAGCACCAAATAGTGCACCATCAGTTTCATTTTTTAAAATTTCAACAGTTTCTTCAGGTAAAGCAGTACCAGTAGCTTTAAAATGTTCAAACCCAGCTTTCAATTCAACAAAATCGAATGCAAAAAACCCAATACCACCATCAACTTTAGGTAATGACCTTATACAACCACCAGCTAGTTGTTCAGGGTTTGGGAAACCTTTGAATTCTTCAACCAATCCTCTTCTAGGCCATAATGGGATAACTCTCGATCTGTTAGCGACTCTCCATCCAGCAGCTTTGACTTGGCCATCATTGATTAAATCAATAACAACTCTCTCATTCTCTTGTGCATGTATTGAACAAGTTGAGTAAACAACTTTTTTAGCATTTGGGAAACTTAGTGCATGTTTAACAATGGAAAATTGAAAAGATGATAATTTTTGTAATCTTTCTTCATTATATGCACTTTCTGGATTCTCTTCTTCATGTGCTCTACCAAAGATACCACTTCCAGAACATGATGGATCCACAACTAAACCCGTGATATCTTCAAATTCAGATGGTTTGGAAGCTGTGAAATCACCAACATTTATCTTAACTTTTGATGCACCAGCAGTAGTGACCATCTTATCTAAAATCTTGGAACGACGAACATCTCTTTCAAAAGCATTAATTGACCCTTGTGGACCTTGAATATAACTTGCTAAATGTGTTGTCTTATTACCAGGTGCCGCGCATGAATCGATAACATGGTCATTTTCACCTGGGTTTAATATATGAGCTGGGAAACAAGATGATCTATCTTGAATGATGATATGACCCTTTTCATATAGCTTTAACTGTGTGATACGCTCTTTTGGGTGAACGCCAAATAGATTGGGTATATATTCATCATGATAAATTGTACCTGGTTCAATCTTTTTAATATCTGAGACTTGTTCCAAATGGTCCAACTCTTCCAAAACTTTCTCCTTGGTTGTTTTTATAGTATTTGCTCTAAACCATCTCACTGGTGTATCATCTTCATCAATTAATTCATCCAAACTCCTCACTTTATGCTTTAATTTTAATTTTGTCAATTCAGCAGCTAATCTCGTCTTGTGCTTCAAAATTGCCTCTTTCAAGGGTGTTTTACCCATTTGGATTCTTCCAGATCTGGTGAATAAAAGATCATGAACCAATAGAAGAGCTTGAGATTCTTTGATTTGCTTTTCTTCTTTGAGTAATTTGGCTTTCTTGATGATTTCCAAGATAAATGGTTTATATTTCAAAGTTGATGAGACCAATGCATAAACATGTTTGGGATCTGTCTTTAGTTGCTTGTTTTTCGATGCATTGAAGATTCTAGTCTGAAGAGAACCTTCTTTCTGGTTTGAAGTTAAAAACTTTTCAGCCTCCCTGTACAAATTCATAGTTATTTACAGCTGAACCCAAGTACTTTTGACCTCAAATATTAAACTCCATCACCAAAAAATTGTACACAACTGAAAAATTTCGTTATTGACACTCTCTCCGATGGCAGCCTTGAAAAGCCGAAGGTGTTCGGGTGTTTTCTGATCTTGATTTTTTTTCGTTTTCGAGATTTTTTCAAAAGGGCTCTTTTGTTTTGGTTTCCTTGAGCTTAAGCAAAGTATAAACAGATAATAGCAAAACGCATTGTGAAGACACCCTCTGGTGAAGAATTGCTGCTTAGAAGAGCTTATATTATCAAGATCTATTGACTCACACAGATAACCGATCTGATACTCAATCACAAGATTAAAAATTGCTCTATCGCTTGACAGGTTTGCCTTTTAGTGCGTGGAGAGTATATCAAACTAATATCAATTCCAAGAGAACGAGAATTCACGCTCAGTTCATCAACTTTTAGAAGCACGAGGCTCAGACTTTTGACTCAAGATAGCTAGCGCTTGATCTATTAAGAAAAAAGAGTTGTCAGAAAACACAATGAGCACAAATGAAGTGAAGGAGGAACCTAACTCCACCACAACGGCAGAAGACAACACCAACAATAAATCCGAACAAATTGAAACCAAAAAGGATGAAGATACGATAGTGCCTGACGCTGAACCAATAAAATCAGAGAAACGAAAGATTGATGAAGTTGATGGAGCTATTTCAAGAGAAGATGTCACGCCAATCAATGGCGTTGTTGATGATAAGACAATTATTGTTCCTATTGTGCCCCCAAAGATTAATTACATCCCATTGAAAACAGGATTATGCTATGATGTTCGTATGCGTTATCATGCCAAAATTTTCACATCATACTATGAATATATTGACCCACATCCAGAAGATCCAAGACGTATTTACCGTATATATAAAATCCTCGCAGAAGCTGGTTTGATCAAGGATCCAACATTGTCGGGTATAGAAGATATTGGTGAATTAATGTTGAAAATTCCAGTTCGTGAAGCTAGACCTGAAGAAATCTTACAAGTCCATACTGAAGAACATTTGAGATTTCTTGAGAGTACTGCCCAGATGACTAAAGAGAAACTAATGGAAGAAACTGAAAAGGGTGATTCTGTTTATTTCAACCATGATTCATTCTTGGGAGCTAAGCTAAGTTGTGGTGGTGCCATTGAAGCTTGTAAAGCTGTTGTGGAAGGGAAAGTTAAAAATGCTTTGGCAGTTGTTCGTCCTCCGGGTCATCATGCTGAACCTGATACACCTGGTGGTTTTTGTCTTTTTTCAAATGTTGCAGTTGCTGCAAAAAACATTTTGAAGAATTATCCGGAATCTGTTAAAAGAATTGTTATTCTAGATTGGGATGTTCATCATGGTAATGGTACTCAAAAGGCTTTTTATGATGATCCAAGAGTCCTCTATATTTCATTACATAGATATGAACAAGGGAAATACTATCCAGGTACTATAGCAGGTGCAGCAAACCAATGTGGTGAAAGTGCAGGTGAAGGTACAAATGTTAACATCCCATGGCCAGTTGGTGGTATGGGTGATGGTGACTATATTTATTCTTTTAGAAAAGTTGTCTTACCGATTTGTTATGAATTTGATCCTGATTTGGTTATAATATCTTCAGGTTTTGATGCTGCAGATGGTGATATGATTGGTCAATGTCATGTTAGTCCCGGTGCTTATGGTCATATGACACATATGTTGAAAAGTTTAGCAAAAGGTAATCTTTGTGTTGTTTTGGAAGGTGGATATAATTTAGATTCTATTGCCGTTTCTGCTTTAGCGGTCGCGAAAGTTTTGATTGGTGAACCTCCAGATGAATTGAAAACTAAATTACCAAAGAATGAAGCAGTGGAGACAATTGATGACGTTATAGAAATTCAGTCAAAATATTTCAAATCGTTAAAACCTGGCCATTCAGCAGTGGATCATGCTGCTCCAGTTGGTGAAGGTAACAAAAATTTCAACTTACAAGAAGCTATTCGTAATCAGCAAGCACGTGACCTGTTTTCAAATCATAAATTTGTTAGTTTACCTGTATTGAATGATAAGCAAGATACTTGGAATTCAAGTGATGATCAAATGTTGGCAAGCTCAGACATTTATGATGCTGATACTATCATAATAGCAGTCCATGATCCTGCTGAAGTTTGGGCCAAAACGGATTCACTAACAGGTTTAATAGATCCAAGTAGCTCTATTATTATAGATTCAACTTTGAAATTAACAAAATGGGCTAAAGAGCAAAACTATGGATTCATTGATGTTAATATTCCTGAATCTTCACTATCTGATGATAATTACAGTGCTTTAAACTCTTCTCAAGAAGTTGTATTATATTTATGGGACAATTATATTCAATATTTCAAGGCTACAAAAGTTATCTTCTTTGGATTTGGTGAAGCTTACTCAGGTATTGTTCACTTATTAGGTCATCGTGATACTCGTAATGTTGTTAAGGCTGCTATTGCTTACATTGATAGAAAACAATTAAGACCAATAGTACCATTAGTTGATGAAGCTATGACTGATTGGTTTTTCAAAAATTCATTGATATTCACAAGTAAAAACCATTCATGTTGGGGTGATGGCTCTGAAACGAAGAAACCAAGAAAGAAGTTTGGTAGAGTTTTGAAGAGTAATTCAGATGGTTTGGATAATATCGTGGAGGAAAGATTTGAAGAAGGTACGGACTTTGTGCTTGATTCCATAGAAGAGTATGATGAAAGCAGTGCTTGAATCAGTACTTTGTACAAGATGATGTGTTGTGTTCATACTATGTACTAATATTAAAAACTACGAAATAATGTATTTTTTTTAGAAGAAAAGTTTCTTTATAACGAATGCATACTTATACAAAATGATGAGTAAATCTCTCCAACGCAGCGAAGGATCATAAAACTAAACAGCACTTGGATATCTTTCATTGAAATCTTTTTCCAGATCATCAATATCTGGCAATGAAATCTCACTTGAAATACTATTCTTTTTTGAATGAACTTTAAGTGTCACATCTAATCTACTTTTATCATCATCGCCTTCACTATTAACTGCCAGAGTTTTCAAGTGTAATGGTTTTTTAGGTTTGATAGGTGGCGCTGATTTCTTCAGAGTAGAGGGTGAATAAATTTCAGTCTCCTTTAATGGTTTAGGAGTTCTTGTGATAGTACTTGGGGTGGATTGGGCCGACAGTGGAGGTGTTGAAGGTATAATCTTTTTTGTTGGAACAGGTGGTTTTCTTTTGATAACAGAAGGTTTCTTAAACCCATCGGCATCAACATCCGCTTTATTATCTTCATCATTACCATAACCTTTGGCAGTTTTAACAACTGGGGGATCATTGTTTCTATTCAATAATGCTTGAACTCTTCTCTGAATAGAACTTGAACGGTTCAGTGTCTTTCTATTCTCTTCGGGGATTATGATTTCCTCTTCAATACTCTCTGATGATGATCTAAATTTTGTGGAATTACCAGTATGCGTTGAATAAACACCAGAAGCTTCATGGATAGAAGATGCTCTTGAACTTGTGCGGCTTTGTGAACGACTTTGCGAACGACTATGTGAACGGCTCAGTTTTCCCGTGAAGTGACCAATCAGAGCACCGACCTTTTTGCTTCCCGTACTGATACGACGTAAAGAATTAACACTTTCACCAGTATGTTGTTTGGACCAAACCTTACCTGAATCTTGTCTTTCCAAATTTTTCAAAAAATCAACATTACTATTGATATGATTTCCACCAGGAGATAATTCAACAGTATTAGATTGACTAGATAATCCAGTAATGATTCGTTTCAGTTCATTTGTTTCGCCATTCTTCTCTGCTGGTGACTTTTCAAATGATTTAGCTTGTGACGGCAACACATACATGCTTTGTGGTCGTTTCTTTGGAGCTAGTGGTCTTGATTGATTTTTCAAACGTGCTTCAGTTTTTAGCTTTACTTCATCTTGGTCCACAGTCTGAACTATACTATCAACATATTTTGGTTTGGCAGGGATAGGTGGTTTCGATTCTTTTTTGGTATCATAGATTGACAAATTTCCAACTGATTTACTCAAATTATTGGCATGTAAATTGGAGTTACTTGGGTTATTGGAATAAATTTGGGATGAAGAAGTTGGTCTCGCAGGTTTAGGAGGTGGTTGTGGGCTTGTGCTTTTAGACTTGAGAAAGTTTGAGGTATCGATATCAGCAAACGGGTCTTTCTTACCAGGACTTAACGAAACATTCACCATTTCCGTGTTTAGTTGTTTCAATGGTCTCAAGTTATTTGATTGTTGAAGTTGAGTTGAGGAAACAGTACTTCTTGGCAAAATTGAAGCATCTGTAGTGTTTGATGACTGTGAAAGTATTTGAGGTTGAGCATGAGCTTGGGGTTGAGCTTGGTAACTTGGTTGAGGGAGTGGAATCTTTGTTGGATGAACTTTTGGATTGAATGTTGCAGATGTGATGTTCTTTCTTTTTGTGAAATCATCAATTGGCATTGGGACAGAACGCATTTTACAAACTTCTTCAAGAGTTTGATAGGCATTTGGACGACGACGGGGATCTTCTCTTAACAACACTGATATCAAGTTTTTCAATCTTTCTGAATAGACTGGGTATTTTGGAAAGCTAAAAGTGGCATGCAATATTGCCAATTCACCTTTTTCTTCAAAAGGGGTAGTATAATAACACAACTTGTAAAGGAAAATTCCTAAAGCCCAAATATCTGATTTTTCATCAACAGGTAAGCCACGATATAAATCAATCATTTCAGGTGCTCGATATTGAGCAGTTGTATTTCTCAAAACATCATTTTGTAAGATTGCAAACTCATCAGCATCTCTTGGTGGACGTAACACTGGGGATGCAGAACCAAAATCACAAAGCTTATAGTCACCATTACCTGAAATTAAAACATTTTCAATCTTTATATCTCTATGGATGAGAGGTGGGTCCAATGCATGCATGTTTGCAACACCTTCAGTGACTTCACCCATTATTCTCAAGACTTCATCTTCTCTCAATCTATTTTCCAATCTAGTATTCATGAAATCTATCAAACCTTTATTGGCACAGTACTCCATCAACACAAAGACTTCATACCCAGGCCCAGTTGGCATTCTTGCAGCATGAGAGTCGATGTATGAAACGACATGGCGATGGCCTTTAACTCTTTTCATTGAATCAACTTCTGCCCTCAATATATTTAAACTAACCTTATCAGGAACAGCAACTCTTTTAAGACACGCAATTGATGTTTCATTCTCCTTGGGGCTGATTTCAACTTTGTATACATGTGCAAATCCACCTGTTGTTAGTGTTAGTATCAACTCTCTTAGAATAGTATCATTGACACTCACCTTCTGATACATATTTCACTATTATGGCTGTGTGAGAGCCCACTGTGAGCACAGTTCCAGGCTTATAGGCATTTGGCGGTATAGTACCAGACATTCTCCGTTAAATTATATTGTGATATAATCTTTTTCAATTGCCTGGTGCTTTGATCTTTAGTTGATGACTTTTTTAGTCTTTAGACAATCCGAAATGGCCAGGGTGTTTAACCGATTTGTAAATCCAACCGATTGATCAAATAAAATCTAGGAAAAACCTCTTCTAAGCAGCCTACTTTAAACTCTCCTTCAGAAACAGTTTTAAAAACTGCAAATTGTTTGAATTGTTATTGTAAGCAACAGTGATAGCCTGGCTTGGGCATCTGTGTCTATATTAGGGAATGATGAATTTCTTGGAGATTGAAAAAAAATAACGTAAACACGGTGTTCGGATGTTGTGATTTCATAATCACAGAGTAATAAATTGCTGAATTACTACAATTTCAATATTAACTAGGTGGAGTTGTTCTTTGATGGTGACTGGGTGATAGTTAAGCAGATTGGGTTCAATTGTACACTCTTTGAGCTCCAGAATGATCAAATCAGGTATTCAATATGGTCTGAATCTGTGCTCCTTTTTCGATTTCTTCTCTTCCTTATGTTTATGCTTCTTATCCTTTTTATCTTTTTTCTCCTTTTTATCTTTCTTTTCCTTCTTTTCTTTCTTCTCTTTCTTGTCCTTCTTATCTTTCTTCTCTCCCTTTTCCTTTTTACTCTTCTTTTCTTTGTGCTCTCCGGATGTTGATTCAGAATCGTCCTCTAGGTCACCCATTTCAACATCTTCTTTTGGCTCATTTTGTTCAGTTGAAGCAGAACCAAAAAATGATTCTGGTGCATTTAGTTGGACATCTGATTTCCATATTCTCAAATTACCATCTTCACCACCAGTGTAAATTAAATTACTTGCAGGAGGACAGTACACAGCTCTAATGACTTCTTCCCCGTGTCCTCCATTCAGCTTGATTGGTGTTTCAAGATTTATCTGCTCATTAATGAATGGATATAGTTTAGCGTGTGATTTTCTAAAAGTGAGAGTTAGTAATTGAAGATTTCAAAAAACAAAAGCGACAACATACGAATTAGCACCGGTTGCAATGAAACCAGGGTACACATCAACCACGTATTCACAATCCCAAAGTTCTCTGACGTCTCCAAAATCTTGAGGTTTTGGTTCGTGAGATTCATCGGATTTATCATTTAGTTCATGTATGGCAAAAGTTTCCATATGAGATAAAGTATAGATTCTTTTTGGAGATAGCCACCCTGCAGAATGGATTGATGCAAAATTAATAACTTGATGTAATGCATCATCTTCATCTGGTATACTAAGATCATAAATGTTGACATAACCATCAGTTGACCCACTTAATAATATTGAATCATCTGTTGGATGGAATTTGATCTCTGTAATGTCATCATGATGTGAATCAATGAATGACCTCACTATATCTTTGGTTCTGAAATCCCAGATGTGCAATTCAGCATCTGCTTGTTTCAATTCTGTACCACCAGCAACATAATTGTTTTTAAAATCTAGTGATAAAAATGGAATGTTTCTTGAATTATTGAAAATTGCAACTGGTTTATCATCATTATTTCTTAGATCAAAAATTTTAATAGAATCTTCTGCAGCTGTTCCTATTAAGTTTTCACCATCAACCGATCTTGCAGAATTGATTGAAGATTGATGTGCTTTTATAGTTCTTATTGGTGCGAAATTTCGATCTTGATTAGCATTCAATGGATATAGTTTCAAGGAACCATCACTTAAAGAACTAACAAGACCATGGTTTTTTGATGGAACAAGGTCTAAAACCCAGTTATCACCTGAGTTATGACTAGCTATTAGAGAAGCAACTGACATTTCAAGAATGGTGAGCTATAAACGGTTGAATTTAAAGTGTTCCTATACTAATTTTATGTCAAAAATTTTTTCTCACTACAAGCCTAAAAAAAAAAAAAAACACACACACACAATTCGCGAATGAGGTTGCAAAAAAAAATTAGAGTTTTAGTTTCGTCAAAGTTTTCAGACTTTTCTATGATGGAAATTAACTGATGCGTTTGTTCATGTCGAAGATACTTATTTCGATGTTAGAACTACATAATAACAATAGTGTTTTTGATAAGAGAACTGGCTTCAAAAGTCATCGATGTACTTTGAAACATATTTGCTGAGGTAAACCCCCCTGAACAATTATCATAGATAGAATGTACAATTTTCATCAATATTTCATGAAACTATACGTTGCTGCTCCATTGATGGCTATACAAACTACAAACTGATGCATATATTGTTAACTGTCCACAAGCTTTACGATTTGGATACATCCACCTCGATATCATAATTCTATTGTTTGCGGGCTACACTTGTCATCTGTCATTTTTTACGGGTTCTCTTCAGGTGATAATATTCACTACCATAGTACACCTCTTGAATTTCAATGGAATTAACAGCAACTTGAGCTTTGAGAATATTAGCTAGAGTCCAGTATAAAATTGAGTGTATTTTGTGATATCTTACAATAACCTGAGTTTATCTCATGATACGTGCTAGTTGGTGCTTGCTGACTAACATTGAATGCTGCCATTTTCTTATTCAATCATACGCATTCATTCTAAGGCTAGATTGCTCATGATGATGAGATGGCTGTAAAATTATCACTGAAGCTGCTACATTGGGTAAACAATTTACAAGCACAATGGTACCATCTCGAACTTGAACAAAGTTGGCAAAGAGCTTAGGAGTTTGAAGTATCTGCTCTTATATTGAGACAACTTTTCATTTTGGAGAGTGAATAATAAACTTCTGCTTCAAAACTTTGGCTCGTGTGTTTTTGAAGACTGAACATCCTGGTCCAGGTTTTGATGTTTTTCCACCGGTATGCGCTCGATTACCAAGGAGTTCTCCTTAGACATATAGTTACGTATAACATTTCCCATTGACCAAACTGAACGCAATATTAATGAAAGTGAAGTATGTTGGATTGAGTGTGTCTACAATGAAAAGCAACAAACAGAATATAGGTGCTCTTCGGCGTAGTCGAGTTATATTTTAAAATATATTGTATAAGTAGTTAATTAACGTTCCGATTATATAATTTATATATTGTTAATTCGCGCTATACCACAGCTAGCGGCCTACAGATACAACGTAGAGGTTAAAATTAAAATTAAATAGGTGCGCCCAGCGTTGATAGAACGAGTTGCAGATGTAGCAAACCTAGTTTGCGCTAACATGCTATATAAAGAAATATATAAGGTCCAGTTGTCATCGTGACAGTCGCGGTGATACTGGTACTAGAAGTAAAAAGCTGATTATTTTCAGTTACAATACAAATAACAATAGTTGCACAGTTGAACACACAAAATACCGCCTAAACCCTTGGGGTTAATATTGTACCATTCTCTGGAAACTAATCTGTTGGAAATCTCGTTGAGCTCAACTTTCCAGACGGGTGGAATTTTCTTTGCTGAATGGTCCTCCAACCATGACCAATAGGTCCTTGGAGGACCAACTACACATAACCTGGAGCGAAAAAAAGCCCAACAAACACGAGAGAAGTCAGCCCTTCCGCTTAGATTCAGAAACTTTACTGTGTATGTGTCGAAAATAAGCCTTCTATTCTCTTCTATCGATGAGCGGGAGTCTAGCGGCTAAATGAAATCGGTCCGTTATGTAAGCATTCCTGGAAAAAAAAAGGGAAAAAAGAACACAAAGCCCAAAATCATCAAGAAAACATTCGTTAAAGTGCGAGTTACACTTGAAAGTAATGGTCCATGAACAATTCCGCCCGCAAGATCACGCATCACGCATCTGAATTTCCCATCTCAATGAGCCTAAATGTCACCCACATTCCATGATAATCCTGTTTTCTTGGAGAATGTTTCTTATTGATTAATCAATGAAGCTGTGGATCGTATGATTTATCACTGAACTGTCTCTTGGTCTGTCCATCTAATTCCATCCCTACCTACTTCTGAAGCCAGACACAATTTGGTGATTATAGACCTCAATTGAAGGATTAAACCGGATTCCCCATGCTGGCCAGACTTCAAGCTCATAAGTCATAACTGAGAGGAAGATGGAAAGGCTAAACTTGCATCTTCTTGCGCATCTGATCTCAACTTTCAAAGAATTCTACGCTCAAACTCAGGCTACTTGACTAAAACCGATACGCGGCTGCCCCAAGTTGAACTAGGTGTGTAATATATGGCGGCTAGGAAATTCGCTCATTTGGATAAGTTTGTGGCTCCAGTCATATAGTGGTGTGTTGTTACTTTAGTTGGTTTTTTTTGTTACTCTTCGCTATGGTGTTTCGGCCTCTAATACGGTCTGAAAAAATCTTTTTGTTCTTTGAATGAAATGAGAAGAGGCCTGATAAAAGGCTGATATTGTTTTCAAATTCTCATCAACGTCGCGAACTTGCTTCATGGCAAAGTTTGATCAGGTACAGTTGGAGTGTTAGGCTTTAGCCTATGCTGGTTAAAACTTGGAGTCTGCTTTGTGCTGTATGCATGTTCTGTGCTGAAGAAAGCCGCTAACGCATATGTGCTTGGACAATAGTACCCGTTTGGAATACATGAAATACCTGAAGATCACCTTTACATACCCCCAAATTACCAGAAAGCATTATCTGAATCTCAGATTTACACTTTTTAGGTCAAAAAAAGAATTAGGTACGCACATTTTTACATACTACTGAACAGCGAAGACTCAAGTTTGCATAACGAGAAAGGAAAAGATAATACATCCTTGTCAAGCTCATTTTAATATTGTCAAATTGTTTATACTATAAATTCCAATGGTATTGCCATTATTTTTCCAGCTATTATGTTGAACTTTTTTGGTTTTCTATCAAATTTCCACATTCGTTTTGCTGTGCCGTGATCTTATAATTTAGATTACATTTTGTTCACGATGAAGGTTCAAAATTTGCTGTTTTCCTACTTGTTGGGAATACTGCTCCTTGTCCATGGAATTGCTGGTGCTGATAGTGAAACATCGTCTGTTTCATCAACATTGTCCTCCACAACTACTACAACTTCTTCTCTTGCTTCAACCTCCTCTGTTCAAACATTATCTACCATCAAGGGTATTACCACCGTGTCCACTGATATTTATCGTGCAACCACTCTTTCTTCATTGTGTGCACATGCTTCCCAAACTGGTGATTTGAATGGTAAACATTACAGAGCTGCTTATGATATCACTGGTAGAAACACAGGTACTATTATCGTTTCTCGTGTTTTAACCGTTACCTGGTTTTTCCAGTTTGATAGACCTTTGAATGCCACTGGCTTCAGTGTCTCCAAAGCAGGTTTGGAAATATCTAATGTTAAAGGTAGTGTCAATTTAGAAGATGGTTCATTTGTTGTATCATATGATGTTACTCTTCCATACTTGACAATCATTGTTTCTGTTCCACTTTATTGTGCTGCTGATTATGTTACTTTCCAATTTACTGTTCCTCCTGCTTCATTTGTTACGCAGGATAAACGTGAATTACCTCCTGGTCTGGATAGTTATGATCTTTTCAAGCGTGACCAGTTCTCGGAAGCGAGATATGATGATTATAATGATTATGGATATCCACTTGATGGAACATATTATGATGAGAATGGGTTACAAAAGCGTGCTAACGATGACACCCGTTATTATGCTTTTTACGTTGGTACTGCCGGTGCTGTCATTGGAACTATTATCAGTCAAACATTCTGTGGTTTAACAAATTGGTTCAACTGTCCCGTGTATACTAAAGGTTTGAGCTTTGACTGTGATGCTTTCAAATCATATTTATCTTGTTCTGACTCACTCACTTTGACTGAAAGTTATTCATTAATCCCAACTACAGCACCTTCATCTTCTTCTTTGATATCCTCCACTTTGTCCTCCTCATATTCATCCTATATCAATTCATCAACCTATGTCAACTCATCAATGTCCTATTCATCAACTTTGGCAAACTCTTCATACTCCTTGCCATCAACAATGATAAGCTCCTCTTCAATTGCTGAATCATTTTCATCCGGTATTAGTTCATCAGCTGAACAAAGCAGCACACTTGATTCTACAGCATCTGAACCATCCTCAATTTCCAAACCTGTTGTGTCACCAACATCAGATCTTTCTGGTACTTCATCACACTCCAGTATCTTCACCACTACTTGGACTGACTCAGCTGGTCTAACTTCAACTGGTATTGTTAGTGAATACCCAACTACTGGTACAGATGGTGTTGTTGGTACAGGTACTACTACTATCCCAATCACTGCTTCTGGCTCTTCATCACACTCAAGTATTTTCACAACTACTTGGACTGACTCAGCTGGTCTAACTTCTACTGGTATTGTTAGTGAATATCCAACTACTGGTACGGATGGTGTTGTTGGTACAGGTACTACCACTAGTTCCAATCACTGCTTCTGACTCTACAAGCTCCCACTCCAGTATTTTCACCACTACTTGGACTGACTCAGCT